CAGGTTCAAACTTGTCTCTTTGCTTGTTTGTAAGTCTGGAAAGAATTTCTGGGTGCCACTCAGACAGCAGATAGTGAACTCTCTAACTTTTGACTGTTCTGGTTAGAGACAATTATATCCCAACTGACCTGGCATGGCTTTAAGCACTTGGCTGAAAAGTTTAGCTGTGTCTGGATGAAGCAAGGATTTTGCTTCTCTGCAGAGTCTGGAAGCATCATTGTTTTTTCTACTTGCATATCACGATCCTTCAGCTATAACAGTTACTATACTCAAATCACTCCTTATACAGTAACATTGTTTTATCTACCACACCACGCATCCTCACTGCCTCACACACACATGCAATTGGCGGAACTCTCATAGCTGATTTTCTGCACATCAGTTTGTCTTTCTAAGGTCATCGAGAATGTTCGGTTAGTGAAAATTTTAAAATTCAGATTTCTAACTGTGCTTTATCATCTTTGCTCACTGGTAAAAGGGTGGGTAAAAAACAAACAAACAAACAAACAAACAAACAAACAAAAAAAAACCCAAACCACCAAACAAACAACCAAACGATGTCAAAGTGATTTGAACAGGTCTTGAAAACACTACTAAAAATGCTAATCTTTTAGAACATTTGCAGCATGGATGTGCTACAGCTAGTCCTGCTTTGGAATTTCCCTGGAGTTAAAATAATTGGGAATTTTTCAACAACATGTTCCTCCTATTCTCACATCATTTCTCTGTTCAGTCTACATATCTCTGTAGAGGTGGTTCTACTCCTGCATTAAAGACCTGTTCCTTTAGCTTCGCTGCCCACAGAATCTCCCTCATCTGGTACTCTCTTACTCCAAGCCTAGAGGAGCAGTTTGATTTTCTATTTGACCTCAGTATGTTTCAATGTTACTGTTTTCCAATTTAAACAGCCAAGAGATATCTGCCTAGACATAGCAGGCTGGAATTTGGGGAATGTAAAGTGGAAGCTCAGCAGTAGTGGCAGGACCTGGGAGCAGCCAGCCTTCATACCTGCCTTGGGAAAACACAGAATATAAATCTCGTGTCCAAGGAGAGCCAGTTAATACAGGTGTATGAAAGGGCCCACCACCATCCATGTAGCTGAGGACAGTCAAGGTACTGAAGACCAGTAGAAGAGACAGAGGAGAAAGACATTTGGGGTCTGTGGCTTTGTACCACTCAAGCACGTGTGAGCACACGAGGCAGTTGGATACAACCCCCTTTTTGCAGTTATTCCATCTCCATATGAGGTTTAAGCATCTGACTTTGGTTGCTGCCAATAAAAGAGATTAGGCTGAAAATGTTTCAGCATGAAAGGCAACCACTGAAGCCAGTATCAGGGCTTCTCTTTCCCTCAAATATGAGGGCAAAGCCCCACAGCCTGGCAGAACAGGCCAGAAAATGAGGAAAACTAAGTCATGCTTCGTTAGAATGAAAGTCGATGAATGCCAGAGCACATTATCAGCAAGGAGAAGTTCCTGTTTGAGCCTGTAATGATTTGCATGATTCCATCACTTGTTTGCTACTGTACAGCATTTTCAGAAGGGTTGCTGTTCCGTACTGAATTGCAAATGGTTTTCTCTTTTTTCCTGTCTTTTGTTGACACACTGTTCTTATAAAAGTGCACCAAGGCCAAGTCTGCCTTCCACCTTCTCTTGTGCCATGATGAAAAGGAAAACTGGTGGAGATGTCAAAGTGATCAGTCTTGAGAATCTGGTGTGGTTATTGCTACAGCGTTAAGCATACTCTGAAAAATAGCTGCCTGAGACTCCACCACTTTCAGGGGTTAGATGGACAGGAGATGTCAGGTTTGTGGGGAGCTGTCTAGTTGTGGTTAGATTTTGCCTTTTTTTTTTTTTTTTTTTTTTTTTTTAATATTTGGATTTGCTTTAAGTAGGATGGAATTAGAAATTTTGCCAGAGAGGATGGAGCATTGGACAGATCCCAAATCTGCAGATACTAATCCAACCTCATTGTTAGAAAACGTGCATCTTCATGGATAATGTTATACATAAAGGAAAAACTGTACTGTTAAATGGAAAAGAGATACCAAAATTAAAAAAAAAAAAAAAGTCTTATTCATTCTGGTAAAGCACGTTAAAGTAGTATTGGTAGTCCCCAACTCTGCGTAAACTAGATATAATTTAGTAAAAAAAATAAGAAATAAAAATGCAGGTAGACAACTGAAAAGATTTTAACCAGTACAGGAGATAAATCCTCTTTTTTAAGAAAAGGCCCGCTATCAAAGGTTCATGGCTGAAAAATTAACTGCATCATAGCCATTGTAGCTACATGGCACCTGTATAACCAGGTTATACTCCCATTTTGATTTATCAAATGCTCCTATTTCAGTGCTATATGGAAGCACACTTTGAAGTACATATTTCACATCTGGAGGAAGTTCTCATGTACAGGTGCAACCTTTGTAAAATATCCAAGAAAATACAAAGGGGCTTTTTAAGAAAGACCCTTGTAGCATGGAATAGATGTTCTTCTCTTGAAGATTACAAGACCGTCCAGCTAATGTTTGGGCTCTTCCTGCTCATCCAAAGAAATCAAACAGCACGTGGAAGTGTTGGAAAGTGATAGATTCAATCTCGTCAAAGATATATTCAGGATCTTTCTAGTAGCAAGGTCATATGCTTTATTGATCCACTAGAATATGACACTTGCAAATATTTTTTAGAAAAGGTGAATATGAAATGATAAGGGAGTGGAGTTCAGCTATATCTCCATCATAGCTTTCAAAGACACATATAATCATAGTGGTTCATGTCATTCAATGCCCACAGGTCTGTCCTACCGTTGTCAGCACAGACAATACTCCAGCAGATGCCTTCAATGGATGTGTTTTAGACTTCAGGGTACCAGAAGGCCTACTTTAAACAATAATTATTTGGGGAAGGGTGGATTGGTGCTTTTGAAAAAAGAGAAACCTTGCATGCAACCACATAGCAGCTGCAAAGCAAAGGATGAAGAGAAAGTCTAAAGTGAACGCCACTGGCCACTCCGACAGCCCTCCCAGAGGAATGAGAGTGGAGCTGGCATGTCATGGTAAGGCACCCACTGCCAAGGACTGTAGACAAAATGATGCTAAGGGACCCATTCTGCTCAATTTATTACAGGAAAGATAATCATGTTTGCTTATTTTACTCATATACCAGTTCTGAATCTGTGACCATTAACCATACGAACTACACAGAGGGGAAAAAACATCTGGTGAAAGAATCTTGCAAAGTAGTAAGGGAATTCACTAAAAAATCTGTAATTCTGAGTAAGAATGACTGTCAGAAAGTTCACAGGGCCTCCTGTGTGATCCTATACCTGTCAGAGGGAAAGGATCTAGACAAATTTCACAATTTGTGAAATTGAAAATTCCATGTAGTCCTTGAAAGAAGGAGATGAACTCTTTGAAAAAATACCAAGAATGCAAATGGAATAATTCACCAGAGTTTGTTATTTCTTGTCCTTCATTGGCATATTATTCCCTAAACCATGGAAAAGGAGTGCAACTAGGCTTCTACATGAGAGCAGAGTCTTACTCTGCCAATTCTCAAAAGAAGCTTAACTATATTATATGATGATAACGGATTGAATCTGAGACACTAAATCTTCAATCCCAAAGATATAAACATTTTATCCACATCTTGGAAATTACAATGATCCTACAAACTTGGAGGCTGATGAAATTAAGACAAATTTCTTTGAAGGTGCTAAATGTCATGAATGCCAAAACAAGACCAGGGAACCTGAAATCAGTATTGCACAAGACAATACGAATCAACAGAACATCCCAGTGATGCCGGGGGCTGGGGTGGGGAAGAGAGAGATACTACAGACCATGGGTATTTGAACCTGTATCTGATCTGAACACATTTACATTCAGCGTAGCGTTATCCATTTGTCACACAAAAGCAGAACTTATTTCTGTGCACTACCCTTGAGGAACTGCAATATTGCCTTATGACATGACACTCATGAGATGGGGACTTCTCTAAATTAAGTGCTTTCTAACATCAGATAATCTTTCAGACTTGCTTTTTAAAATAGATTTCTGTCCAGTGACTTGGAGTCACATGTTTGTGCCATTGTTCATTCACAAAGTATTTCACAAATTCTTTATCTAGACAAGTCTGAGACTTTTCCCAAACAGAGCTATGCCCATCACAGAAACTCCCTTCTCTGCCTGGAGCAAACTGAAGACAGGGGGAGATGTTTCCACAGTCACCATCAGAGCTAAGCCTAAGGAGTAGAAGGTGGTCACCTGTAAATTTGAACTCCAGGGCTGTTGCTAACAAGCAGAACCACCAGAATAAACAGTCAGTGGAATGACACAAGACATTTACCATGTGAGGGTGCAGAATTGGAAAGGAAGGCTGGGATTATATCTGGCCAGCTCCTGTTGTTTCAAGAAATGCATCTTTGCAGAAGAAGGAACAGAGACTGGGGATGTGGATTGACATGCAGACAGGGACAGGCACAGCTAGAGCTAAACCCAAGAGGGTGGCAGAGACTGCTGAGTGGGCTCAGTCACCCCTTGGGAAGACCACCGGGGACTCCCCTTGCCCCTGGCTAATGCCTGGCTGTGCCCACTGGGTGTGAAAGGAGCTCACAGCAATAGGATTTGTGTGAGCTTCACTGGTATGCTTTTACATTTTGTGTGTTATTAATTTCCAGATTTGTGTGTCACTGATCTGGGAGCATCAACGTATCTGTGGAAGGGCAGTTCTCTGTTCCCAGCTATCTTACTTGATATACGTAGCAATGACAGAAAGGCACACACAGCAGTTTTAGAGGGACAAAGTGATTTTTGGATCCTTGCATATCCCTTCCTTTTCTCTGGCATGAACTAGAGCACCTTGAAGACAGCTTTAAGACGTGCTCTGTTTCCCAGTGTCTACAATGGGCCCTGCACTGCAGTGCATCTCAGCATGGCCCACTTGCAGTGTCCCCATGCAGTGTTTCAAGAGCTGGAAGGAGTCTACAAAATGGGTTGTTCTTGCCTCTCCTGCCCCTTTGCTACAGCCTCTGAGAGCTGTCAGGACAGCATATGAGAGACTAAGTACAAGTAGGAGTCAAGACCTGCCACAAGAGTGGCTGATGTTTATTGAATGAACTGTCTGGTAAAGGTGACCAGAAAGTCTGATGCATTTAAGTGTAAATCTTACAGAATGGATCATCCTCAGAAGGATACTACATGCCTTCAGTTATCTCCAAGATCACCACAGACCTCAAGCAAATACTCCGAAAGGCACCAGGAATTCACTAGCATGAATGAAAGCTGTTCTGCTGAATCCTGCAATCCACTGCAGAGCAAGTTGCCACAGAACTAAACCCAAAATGCTTTGGCAGGGCTGATCACACAGCCATCTGCCACATACCACCAAGGCTCTGCAGCCTTCACCTCCTCCACCTCAGGCATCACTCAGTAAGTGGTCTGACTCATTCTCTTCGATATGGACTTAAAAGAAGATTTAGGCACCCAGAATTAGGCCTTGAAACTGCACTGAAGTTAAAGGGCACATGCAAATGATGCAAATAGTCCTCCTTGCTGTCCAAATGTAAGAGAAGATGCAACGGAGGGCAGCGAGTTTAATGCATGACCACAAGCTGCTGTAAAATTCCTTGTGGAAACAAGAAATCTATTATATTTATCACAAATTTGCTAAGTAAGGTTAATTCCCTGGCATTGACCCTGCCTCATATGCCCTTAGTAATACTATCATGCTTTGTCCCATTAAGATTTTACAAGAGAAGAGATAACACGCGGTCGATAACCCATTATAAACAGGTACTTTTCTTCTTCTCCCTCTCCCCACGGCCCCCACTCTGTTGTAACAGGAAAGATAACACCTCAGCTGGAGAACTTGTTTCCAATGTCAGCCTGTAACCAGCTTATGCCTGAAGAAAAAGAAGCTGATCAGCCATTGTGGTTTTCATCCTGGCAGTTGAATAGCCTGCGTGAATATCAACATTATCATAAATCATTCAGTTGCTGAAAGTCATCTTACCATCAGAAGAAGCTGAATAGCAACCATTTCTAAATCCTTATGTACACCCATTTACAGCAGCTGAGCAGTGGGAGTATATAGACCTATTTTTCAGCTAGCACGATAATCAAGCCATTCCTCATTTAAGAGTGAATTCATTTGCCTTGGTACGAGTCCCAAATAACAGTTCCAGAAACTGATATGTAATCTCCGACTAAAACCAAGATTGAGCTGAGGCTACCAAACTCCTTTCTTCCTCAAAACACACCTAAAATCCCCAGCCAGATTCTGATCTTGGTGCGAATCTGAACATACCGAATTACATTTGGAAGCCACTGCTTTAGACTGGTGTTTCTCAGTAGCCCCAGTGTAGCCATAAAGATCAGAATCTGTCCTTAATATCTCTGCACACTGGTACTGTGCCGAACTAGCTCCAGACTATTTATAGTTTACACTATATATACACACTGCAGCTTCCAAAAGCATGCTTTATCTTTTGGGAGGACAATGCTTTGAGAAGTGTAATAAAAGGCAAAGTTTTGTTAAAAAAAAAGAAATCTGCTCAAACCCTTAACCTGGAAGAGTGGCCCCACGCTGCCAATCAGATAATGAGCTTAATTCTTACATCACACTTTATTTGTAGCTCACTGTGTAGTTAATGGTTGCAGCTTATCTAACAGGAGAAATGTGAAACCAGAGTTTTAGAACAATAGAAACAAGGCTGTCACCAGCAGGCTGCCAGTGAATCATGTCCCCACAGTCAAGTTCTCCCAGAAGGTCATCTGTAACAGAAATACTTCTCTGCTTGAAGCTGGCAAAATGCTAAAAAGTGTTTCTCAGTTTTACCCTAATAAACTATTGATCAGATCAATTACCAGAACAAGTTCACCTGGTAGCATTTTTAAGTTCTGTTGATTGCAAGACTTGATAGTAAAGGTTACCAAGTGAGCAGGCCTGCTTGTTTGTGTCTGGGACTCTAGAGGTGGTTTTACCTTCACTCTAAATTCAAGGTATCTAAACCCCAAACTTTTACAAACCATAAGACAAAAATAATTTACTGTTCTCTTTCACATTTTCGAAAAAAAGAAAAATTTATTTTTAAACAGTAAGAAACTTTCTTCCATAACATTCAGAACTAGAACCACTGAAAGACAGTGATCTTCAAAAAGGATTCGCCAAGAAACAGAAGGCAGCACTGACGGTTTCTCTTTTGTGTCCAGAGAGATATGCAGAAAAAGGACAAGGAAGTACAAAAAAAAAAAAAAAAAAAAAAAAAATCAGGTACTACCTGTATCATAAATATAGAAGCTGGTTTTGCTCATACATAATTATTTTAAAGTAACTGCTCTGTCTGCATCTTAAAGAGGAAAAAAACCTATTCTGCTGCCCTTGCGAAAGAGCTCCAGATTTTCTGCAAGAGGGAAAAGAACAGATGATGGGGGGGAGCTATTCTCTTAAGAAGTATGTCATTGGCACAAACAGCTGGCAGTTGGTGGTGTATTATTTATATGTGCAGTTGCTCATGTTTTTTAACAGATAAGAAAGCAGTATCTCATTTGCAATTCAGGTGAGGAACATGAGTGGCTCTACAGCGCCACTGGCCCCTAGGCCATGTTTCTTATCATATCAGAAACATCTGTCACGGTGCAAATGAATTCATTATAAAAGCACATCAAATATGCAGTTTCAGAATGAGACAGCAGTCTGCAAAGAAATCAGAAAACCAGCCTCCCCCTATAAAAGCTGGGTTGGTCTGTTCCATATTCACCAGTTGGGATGAGGGCAAACACTGGGAGGGGGAAGAGGGAGAAAGAGAGAAACCTTAAAAATGTCATGATTATAAATTATCCCTTCTCTAGAAGCCAACCGCGTCTGAGAATGGGCTTGCTTGCAAAGGTCTGGCAGTACCCACACAGAGCATGCAGACACGCTGCAAAAATGATTATCACATCACTCCACACCAAGTCCTCCACTCCTCCGGGCTGCAAACAGACCTGACTGTAATCCTGGCCTCTGTGGTCCAGAGGACTTTACTTGAGAAAATACCAAAGGGTTGGGGTAGAAAGGATGTGTGGAGAGGTGGCCAGCACGGGGGTTACCATCAGAAGTGCTCTTGTGGGAGCTGCACTCACAGAGATGGAAACAAATCCATTTTAAGGGTGATTGACAATGATATGATAGAAGCTTCCACTTCCAGGGAAGGTAAGGTGCATCTTTAGTCTTTGCTGAGGAGGAAAATAAGACGGGTTGAAAACCACTCATGCACCCATGTTCATCCCTGCTGTAATGCTGCACCTGGCACAAATTTAGAATGCAACAATTTGTAATGTGGACCATGTTTGTCTCTGGTGTTGTTCTCCAGCACTGGGTCTAATACCCCTGTGAGTGCAAGAACATTTTTGTGCTCCTATTTAGCAGGGACAAAGATTACTCGAGATGACTTGAAAATCCTTCTTGCCTAGAAATTACTTCTGTAGCTCTGGAAGCAGGCAGCTGGATTGAGATCCCCATCTGTGTCACACAGAGTGACTGCTCCCTGCTGTGCCTTTGGGCTTTTATTAAAAAATACAAGAGCAAAATGACTGTCTTTTACCCTTGCTGAGAAACCCCTCTGAACTTCAGCTGACACACAGGCCCTGGACTGGACTGTTACTTCTTCAGTCTGTGCACAGCTGCCAGGCACACACTGCCTTTTCTGTCCCACCAAAGACCGCTTTGGTGAGCCTATATGGCTGCTGCTGCAATTCTGGATGAAATGTGAAATATCCTCACTGTCTCCCCAAGGAGCACTAAAACCAGGCATGCAACTTAAGAAAAATAGAGGAAAATACCTATTTTAACTTTGCTTCTAATCACAAAACATATCCTTAGATATGCATACATCAGCAGAAATGGTGGGTAAGGGCTCCCATTCTAAAACAAACAGAAACATGCACTTTGAGCCCTCATATGAAATGGCAGTAAAAGCCCAACCCAATAATTATTTTCCTTGATTTTCAGCCAGATGAGGCACAAGACAAATAAGTCATCAAGGACAAATAAAAGGAGGTTCATTCATCGCATTCAGGGCTGGAATCTTTAATGGTCACCAAATGAACTAAGATAACTAAGTAACCATTGTAAATATTAATCTTTAAAGGAAAACAATACTCCCAACAACAGGAAGCCTGATAAGACACTGGATGTTGCCATCAGTGTTATGGAGTCTCTCTAATTTCCTTAGTTTTTTTCTTATGCCTGTAGAGGGATCAGGAAGGGGAGCATACGGTATCTCTCAAAGGAAGTAAATTAACATTATTAATAGCTAATGTGGGAGAGGTGAAACAGTGATTGTTCGTGGTGGTTGTTATTGTGTTTTTGTTGGGCTGGGGGGGAAGCCTGCCTGCTAGTGAGTTTAAGCACTCAAGCCAAATTTGAAATCTTGTATTTATAAACAGAGATCTGATAACAGTTGCCTAAGCATTCATGATGCTTTGCCAGCGCATGCACATCAAGCTGATCTGAAGGGACTGTCTTGGGGTTTGTCCCAGGAGTTAGCTAATGCAGATGAGAACTTATGGTGTGGTCCTGTTCCTGAGTAACGCCTCACATGGACCCTCAACATTCTTCTTTGCATTAGTTTAGTTTGAAGCAGAAGGAACAAGGAATGGGTAGACCCACATTTCTGAGGAACAGAAGCTGTCCTCTGGCATCCACTGAGGCAGCTGATCAAGGGGCCACTGAGGAAGTGGGTTCTCACAGGCAGTGGTCACTGATGTGAGACATTTACTTTCAAGCGCACAGTGATGGCCCCAGCAGGTTTCTGAGGGCTGTGCAGCAGCATGGTACATACGTAGCAGAATTATTTTGTGGGAAGCAATGATAAAGTGCTGTATTAGTATGGACTGAATTGGTGACCTAGAAGATATCTCAGAGTCCTGGGATCCCTTGCAATTTCCCTGCACTAAGAAGAATTTACCTTTCTTAAGCCTCTGCTTTCATATCTCTCCCTAATACTTACAACATGGCATTTATTTACTCTAACATTGACACTTAGAGAAGTTACAAGCTGTAGCTACACTCGAAAGGGTGGGACCCTGATCCCAACCTCAGCTCTGTTTGTCCCAGAGCACTTGAAATCATAAATGCATTCTCCATTTGCTCAAGAGATCCTATACTTCCTACTTTCTTCCCAATCATGAAAGCCTGAGGCAATTCCTATCTGGCCTGGCAGAGGGTGGAATTCATGACACCTTTCACGATGAGACAATCTCCAAAATAAATTTTGCAGGTCTTAGTAAAAACAAGAGGACTTGATTAAAATTACCCAGTGAGCTTGGTAGATATAAGCAAGTTTTGGGGAAAATGTTCAATATACTCTTTAGAAAGAAAACAGTGGATTTTGGTATAATTAACCCACTGGATCTTAATAAAAATTGAGTAGCCTAGTAAGAAAACCTCATGCTTCAGGGCACATGGTGATTGCTTGATAGAGGCAAAGGAATTCCCTCTGCCCTTGAACAATTATACTTCAACTGCAAGTTGACAGCTGGATTGTTTCTAAGCCTGAAGAGGACACCTTGAATATCTTAAGACAGTACAGACTTGAGTTAAACTTGGACAGGTACAACAGCTCTGTAAGAAAACCGTTTCCCTACCATACAACTCTGCTTGAAGAGATAATTTTGTAAACTTGGATTAAGTTTGTGTCTTAAAGCTGGTCTAAAATACCTCTTCCTGAGTGATGATGGGATATTTTATTTCTTAAGAAACTCAGCATGTTGACCAAAAAGTTAATGAAAGGCTGACAGAGCTGTGCATTGTTTGCTGGCACTGTGGAGTTATATGACAAGGATAAAATGTTCTCTGTGCTGAAGCCTGGATGGTTTATAATGTCGTGCAGTTTTCCACACTACCAATTTTAGGGCCCTTTAGTATTTCAAGTTATGTAAACTTATAATAAAACTGTTCCTCCTTGGCTCCCAAAGAATGAGACTTTCTGCTCAATCAGGACAGGGCTGAATTCCAGACATGAAAAGTGGGATGCTCTCATGATGGCTTGGAAGAAGACTCTTCCAAAACATCTATAGCAGTATGAGAAGACAAATGTTTAGGCCAGGACAGTTCTACAACCAGGTAAGACACCACCTCAAAGAAATTAAATGCATCAAGCCAAACTCTTTCGTGACTGAAATACTTTCTAAGAAAGATAAAAAATCTGCATATCTTCATAATCTTAACTACTAATACAATGACATCACCCTGATGATTACAATTCATTACACTGTGGTCACACATTCAGTTCTTGTTGCCTGTACCCTCCACCTTCCATCCACATTGGGCACCAAGTGTGGTTGTTTAGTGGTGGCAGATGGAAACAAAATTCTTCTCTAAAACCACCACAACCTCAAAAAGAAATATAAGTTACAGTGCACTTCCAGGGAATTACACCACCAAGTCCAAAAATTTAGAGATCTCAAAAGACAGGTAAGGCCCTGCCTTACTCCGATATTGATGGGGTCTTGGGAGGTGAGAGTCTGTGGCAGCTGGAGAGCATGAGCAGCACTGGGCCATGCAAAGGTTACACACACGGTTAACCCCTGCACAAAGCTATTGCTCACTTCTGACCCATTTTCTATCCTTATCATGTAATTAATCAGACTTTGTGAGAGCTTCATGGAAGGAGTGAGTTGTCTGGGGGTGGCTGTGATTACCCAGTTGTAACTTGGACTCTCTACACTGGCAGGGGAGTATGGGGAAATACAGCACTCTCTCCCTCAGGCCAGAGTGCAGGAGCAGTCCCTCTTCCCATGGCACACAAGAGCAGGGCAGACGGCTTCTGCTCTTGACTGGTGCAGCAGCACCTGGAGCAAGACATCAGGTGACAGTACCAGGCTATTTGTGGTAAAGTTCAGCAACTTGATTATTAGTCTCTGAAAATGAGGAGGAAGCCGAGGAAGGATTTTGAC